GGGGGGAGAGGGAAGAAAACGTGGAACAATGAATGATTTAAAAACAACAACGAAGAGAATGAAAGAATTCTAAGAATTTTCTTAACGGATTGTGATCTCCTGGAGAGTAATAATCATGTGGTTTTCAAATGGTTTCGTAAGTATAGAGTACAGGACTTTCACGTGAGAAGGACTCAGTATATGTGAATGAATAAATGAATGATCATTGTCTGGGCACAGATTAATCAGTAAATTCATTGCCATCTAGTGGCAACTGATTTATAACTGACCCTGTAGCAGGTTTTCAGAGGGTGTAAACTGCAGGGAGGATATAGCTCATCTCTTGCCCAAGAAGCAGTGGGTGAACTGGAATCACCAACTTTTAGGTTGACAGTGCAACTACCTACCCACCAGAGCTCCCTAAGGGACTAGAAAATAATAAATGATTATTATAGGCTATGTAAAGAGTCTTGGTGGTACTGTTTTGGCTGTTAAGCAAAAGGCCCAAGGTTAAAACCCACCAGCTACTCCACGGAAGACAGACAAGGGTGTCTGCTTCAGTAAAGACTTATGGTCTTGGAAATGCTATGTGGATGTGGATTATACCCTTTCCTACAGGGCTGCTGTGAGTGGGAGTCTTCTCAATGGGAATGAGTTTGGGCTTATAGTCCTAGGTAATATGTTTGGCTTTCTACATTTTGTGGTTCTAAGTACTCTTTTATTATAGGACAAAGCACTAAGATTTCTCTAGCTATTTATTTAAACAATTTAAATAATTTGAACTAGTATATATTTAGTTGTATGAATAGTTTTATAGTTCATTCTGATGTTACTGTGATGAGGTAAAATTGAAGGGTCCAGTCCCTGGAAAAGTTGAAGGTCAGTGAAAGAGGAAGTTCCTCAGAAATGGATTGACTGAAACAATAGATTTAAGTGCAGCAGAATTTATAAGGATAATGTAGGTTTGGGCAGAGGTGAAGGTGATTTACTGACACCTAATAACAATGTAAGAGTAGATTTAAATGCCATTTAGAGGCTCATGAATGGGTTATAATGACATTTGATTTTACACTTTTAAAGGTCAATGGTTCTCTGAAATACTTCCCTCCCCTTGTTTATTCAGAGTATATGGCATTGTTGTTTTTTGTTTTTTGGCATTGCTGTTTTAAAAACTTAGGTGTTTCTATAGCAAGAACATGGAAACAGCCCAAATGTCCAACCACAAATGAATGGATTGAGAAATTATGGTCCACTCACACAATGGAATACTATGCAGCACGCAGGAGTAATAACTTTGTAAATTATTACCTAACTTGGGAGGGACTGGAGAGCATTATGCTGTGTGAACTAACTCAGTCCCACAATGATAAATATTGTATAAAACCGTTATTGTAGAATGAGTATAACGATCCAGGAGGGGTGGGAGAGGCTGGAAGCAGAGGAATGTGGATGTGCAGGGGGAAGGAGGGATTAATCATTGGATTGTACAATTTGATGGGTGGGGTAACAGAAATTAAAAGAATTTGTTCAAATTGTACTTGAATTTTGTAATAAACTAGTAGAAAAAAAGAAAAAAACCAAATTAGGTGTTTCTGAGGTCATGATTTTATCACGCTTGTTTCTTCTACCAATAAAAACCCCCAACCCTTTATTAATATATATTTTTTTAGCTGACAAGCAATTTACTGTTTTTAAAGAATACTATGAGAAGCCTGATTAAACCAAGTCTCAATGCTGACAATGTAGCATGTACAGAAAGATTGACTATTAATGTGCTGAAGTGATGAAAACCAAATAGAGTTGGGGACTTTAGAATGAAGTTAAGGAAGATAGATTTGATCCTAGCGAAGGACTACTTTTAGAAATTTACATTTGGAAAAAATTCAGTCTTGAACAGGCTTCTGATAACTTAAAACAGGACCAATAGGAAACTAATGGACTAAGAGATTATGGATGCTGTCATTAAAACCTCCCCATTTCTAGGATCTTTTACTGGAATTTTTAGAGATTGAAAGGCTTTAGACACACAATCTCAGAAAATGCTTACGTTTAGATTTTCAAGTATGTATGTATGTATGAGTTAATTGTCAGGGAACTTGATTTTACAAATGGCATAGGTTTATTTATTTGGAGAGTGTGAATTTAATACTTAGAATATATGTAAATAATGTAAATACACATAGTTATCTGTCAAGGACTATTTCACTTTGTTCACACCAAAGTTGTTAAGATGCACGGGCGGGGCTCAAGTTAGTCTTCTACATACAACTTTCTTATATATTAAAACAAAGAAATAGGTTCTAGCAAGAAGAAAGGTGGTTGTTGTGTTGTGTGCTGCTGAGCCAGAACAGACCCTGCAGTAGATTTTCAGAGGCAGGAGGGAGGAGAGACGAGATTGCCCACCCTTCTCCTGCAGACTGCTGGTGGATTGGAACCATGTGTCTTTGTGATTGCAGCATAGGCCACCAGAGCTCCCTAAGAAGAAAGGTAGAAACCAAAAATCTAGTTTTAGGACCTTGGATGGGTGTCTGAGGCTGCTAAAGTGATGTCAGCTTTGCAGAACAAAAACTTCCATATTACTTTTTCATCATCTTGGGATCCATTTTTTATTCCACCCTCCAAAAGCATCCTTTTACAAGATTTACAATCAGGGCCTGGACTGGGAACAAATAAACAACTAAACCTATCCTCTTTGCTCTTAGCTGTTTGCTTTCTTGCAGGGAAGTGGGAGGGAAAAGCAACATAGGAAAAGCTTAAAGTTCTTAATGTTTATCAGGAATTTTAATATTTTTGTGCAATCTAAAAAGAAAACATTCCCTCCCCCAGTTTCCACAAGTAACTGGTCTTACCTAAATCACTCTGTGAACAGTTTGCTGCTCAAGTTCAGGAGATCAATTTCTTTAATCATTAGTGAATCTTTCCCACTTTGTCACCAGGACTTTCCACTTACCTGCTTTAGGATAGGTAGAAATAAGTAAATCATCAGGCTTGGCTTGGAAATTCCATATCTGATCCCAGATTTCACAGGTGGGTGTGGGTTGAAGAATCCCCTTCACATAGTCCATAGATAGGCGTTCCTTTTCGGAAATTTTCATGTCCTTCATCTTGTTTAAGGCCATCTGTATTAGAATTCAGTGCACTGTGAGGAGCAAGAAAGTTAGCCCCTGAGTGAGCCCAAGCATATATACCTTATTCTGAAATGCAAAACTCAGACCAGAAACTCTATTTGATAGCCTGGTGCTGACCTGCAAACGGAGAGCAAGATGGTTCTGCAGATCTACGTTCCGGGAGAACTAGCAGCTTTCAGTACTTTGTACACAAACCCTTCGCGCAGTGACTTCCCTCCTCTGTGACGTCACATCAGAGGCGGTTACAAAGCCTGTTCTTTCCCTAATCCTGTCCTTGTGTCCGTTTTTTCTTGCGTTGGTGTCACGTTCTGTTTCTCAACTTTGGGCTCATAAAATAATTCATAGATACTCTCATTAGTTATTTCTTCTGGCAATTTTAAACTGAACTTAAAAAATTGTAAGCAGTTTGGTCTGTGGAATTTCAGTTTACAACATAGAATCATTTCCCTTCAAGGATGAAGAGGAATTTCTGAGAACTGTTAACCAAAAAGATCCTAGATTCGGATCTTCTAAAGGGTCAGCCTTGTTATAATTTAGAAATAAAGCAAATAATGCTGCACTGGAGGGGATTCTCCTCCTTTTGTAATCTATTTTACAAAATAAGTAGGGATCTCGTTATATCTATTAAAACATATGTTTCATTTAAAGCAAGATGAATGCAAAGCAAAAACAAACACACACAACCAAGAAATCTTTTTTTCAGTAAATAAATGATAGATGTGTTAAGACCAGGGCTTCAAACCAGTTGATTTCGCTCAATGCCCTGCTGAAAATGTACACTTTTACCTCAAATACACTAAATCAGAATCTACTACAGGAATCTTGTTAACTGTAGATTCTGATTTAGTAAATCTAGGCTGGTATCTCAGCTGGGAGTAAAAAACCGAATAAACAGATTCAAAGTCCTGGTAAAAATGCACACACTCATTTGTCTCTTCCATTCTTGGAGTTCACTTCCCACACTTGTGCCAGATTCTCCTGAAAACCTTTTGCTTAATGGCCTTGCGGTTTATTTATCTTACTTGCTTCTCTAGAACTATTCTTGAATACCTGCCAGATTGTGTGTGTGTGTGTGTGTGTGTGTGTGTGTGTGTGTATTCTTCGTGGATTAACCTGGAAGCCTCTTCTCTGTTGACTACCTCTAAAACAAGGTCAAAATCCCTTTTACTTTAAAAATGACAACGATCGCAATTTGCCCATTGTTGTTGTTTTTACGTGCCATCGAGTCGTTTGCGACTCATAGTGACCCTATGTACAAGAGCCCTAAACGCCGTTCTATCCTGTGCCAACCTCACTGTCTCAAACACATTCATTCCCACCACTCCACTCACAGAATCGATCCATCTCATCGCCACCTCTCCACTCTCCCAAACATGGTATCTCTCTCCAAGGACCAGTCCCTCCTTCCAACATGCCCAAAGTATGTCAGACGAAGCTTCAGAATCCTTGACTCCAGGGAACATTCTGGCTTTACCCTCTCCAGGACAAAACTGTTTGTTCTCCTAGCAGTCCATGGTATATTCAACACTCTTCTCCAGCACCACAACTCAAAGGCATCAATTCTCTTTCTATCATCCCTATTCACTGTCTCCGATGCATAGCACGGAATTGCAAAGACTATAGCCTGGATCAGGTGCACCTTAGTCTCCAGCCTGACATTGTTGCACTTCAGTACTCTTGAGAGGTCCCTCACAGCTGACTTTCCCAATGCAATTTGTCTCCTGATTTCCTGGCTGCTGTTACCAAGAGTGTTGACTGTGGAGACAAGTAAACTAAAACTGTTGCCCATTATTTCCCCCATTTTCTTTACAACCCTTTCTGGCTACCTCAGAGTCCATTCAGAATGTGAGTAATTTCACTTTTTTTGCTTAAGTGCTCTCACTGGCTTCCTATCTGAACGCTAACTGTCCTTTCTAAGAATCTTTGCCATGATGATTCTGCCTACACACCTACATCATGACGCACTTGCTCCCTTTCATATGGGGTTAATACACAGGCTTCTTCCTGCCTTTCTGCTGCCATTTCGTCTCCTGGGAATCTTTGACTCTTGCATGTCTAGTTGTTTGTCTTCCTTCAGGTCTTAGCTTAAGCTAAGCCTCTTTTTCCAGAGACACCTTCTGTGCTATTTGTTCCCAGACTTTTAGCATAATTTTATATAGAGCCTTCATATTTTCTAGTTCAAGGCACTTGTTACTTTCTCTTACAGCAGCTATGAACATTTGGTTTTAAATTTTTGTTCATTTTCTATCTCCTTTGCTAGGTTCCCTGGGTACATGAAGCAGGGTGTGGGGTAAACTCTGCCTTCTTTTTTCACTTGTATGCCAGTCATATGCCTAGTCTCTAGCTCACTATAGTATACTTTTATTTGAGAGAATGAATAAGATAAAACAAAGATTTAAGAAGGTAAGTTAGTTAGTCTACCTTTGTGATCATAGCTTGATAGTTTTTAAACAAAGCTCAGATTGCTGACATTTGAATTCTGTGCCAACTATAAGTAATTGTAGGACTACAAGCAGGTTACTAAACATTTCTAACTTCTCTGACAATTTATTCTCTAGTACTTTATTTATGTGTAAGCTGAGTATCATAACAGTATCCAACTCATTTTTTTGAGGAAATAAAATGGTGTATTAAGTGTAATACTGAAAAAGCAAAGTTTGAGGCCACTAGCTGCCCCCACAGGAGAAAGATGGGCAATCTCCTCCCGCGTGGTTAACTGACTCTAAAAACATGCTGGAAGGTCAGCTATGGGTCAGTTCCCAACTCTACAGCACTCAACAACAGCAAGGTGTGTGGCAATGAAAATGTTCAGTAATTTTTAGCGGTTTAATGAACAACTGACTCCTGCTTAAATATATTATTTCTCTTTAACTCTCATGGCTGAGTGAATTTGGCAATTTGGTCTCTAGTTTTTCCTGTTTTTCAGTGTTGAATGCAATGAGGTGAATTGAAACCTGTACCAAAGACTGACATTATATTCTTGGAAAAAGAATATATATATATATATTTCCCATTAAATTTTCACTTTGTTTTCCCCTTAACCATTAATAATTCACATGTTCAATTGAGAATAAAGAAAATTAGAACAAGTCCATGAGAACCAAAATATAACCTTAAATGTATTGTATCTGGACTTAAAAACAGTCTCAAGAATAGAATGAATCTGAATTGAGTAGATGATGAGACATTATGTATATTGTAGTTGACAGTCTAGTACAGGATATGAATAACTAATTGAATGAGGGAGAAGGAGGAAAAATAAGAAAAACTTTACACAGAAACAATTGGGAGGTTTTTTGGGGCCAGGAGGGGAGGGTGAGAGAGCAGAGACTAGTTAATGGATAGATTGAATAAATGGAAAGAAAGGGTACAGCAAACATTGGACAAGACATTTTAAATAATGGAATTATACAGTTGTTGTCATTAGGTGCTGTGAAGTTAAGTATAACTCATAGCAACCCTATGAACAACAGACCTGAACCCTGTCCTATCCTGTGTCGTTCTCATCGCCTCTGACATACACGAACACATTGCAGCAGTCATTGTTTCAATCCATCTAGTTGAGGGTCTTCCTTTCTTTTCATCAACCCTTCACTTCTCCAAGTAATAACCTCCCTACATGCCCAGTGTATGTGAGATGGAGCTTTTCCATCTTTGCCTCCAAGGAGTATTCTGGTGTGCTTTCTCCAAAACATATCTCTTCTTTTGGCAGTCCATGGATATTCATAGTACTCTTCTCCAATATCATAATTAAAAGGTGTAAAAATGTCTTCTGTCATCTTTATCCATTGTCCAGCTTTCAGATACATAGCAAGTGATTGAAAAGACCAGGGCATGAATCACCTTAGTTTTCAAATTGACATCATTGCTCCTCAGTAATTTGGAGAGATCCCTGACTTCAGGCTTTCCCAGTTCATTAAGTATTCTGATCTTCTGAGTGCTGGTACCAAGGGTGGTTATTAAGTAGTTGGCAGTTTCAGTCATTTCTCCATATATCATGATGCTGCCTATTGGTCAAGTGGTGAGAATTTTTGTTTTCTGGATTTTGAGATGTGATCCATATTGAAGGCTATAGTCTTGATCTTCTGTGACAAGCGCTTCTAGTGCTCCTCACTCTCAGCAAGCAAAGTGTGCCATCAGCATAATGTAGGTTGTTGTTTAATGTTCCTTTGAGCCTGATACCACATTCTTCTTCATAGAATGCAGCTTCATGGATGATTCGCTCAGCATACAGATTGAATAGTATGGAAAGTGGATACAACCCTGACACACACCTTTCTTAATTTTAAGACATTTATAATGATAAACCAATGGTAAATGAAGGAAGACGCTTAAGCTTCCCTGAAGCTGTTGGCAAAAATAAGGCTGCAGCACTGTTGTAAAATGGGACTGACATTGGGGTTTGGGTGGAGACTTAGAGGGGATAAATAATTTATACTGCATTGAAACAGATGAGGGATAGAACTGTTTAAAAGGGATATATGACTAGGTATTATTGTCATTACAGGAGTCCAAAATGAAGGTTGCTTAGTGGAGTGGACTTGAGGGGAGGGATTTTATAACAGTGAAAGAATTTTTCTTTTACTTTTCAAAGAGAAGAACAAATTGGGGGGAGGGGTCGACAGGGATAAAATGCAACAATAAGTGAATGGAAATTCAAAGTCTCTGTGAACTTTCATTAAAATTAATAAAAAAAAGGCCTCAGGAATTGATGAAATACCAATTGACGTGTTTCATCTAACAGATGCAGCCCCAGACATGCTCACCAGTCTATGCCAGGAAATTTGGAGGAAAGCTGACTGACTGACTGGAAGAGATTCATATTTGTTCCCATTCCAGGAAAAGTGATCCAACAGGATGTGGAAATTATCAAACAATATTATTAATGTCACATGCAAACAAAATATTGCTGAAATGAAAATAATAAAAAACAGCTAGAAAATGAAAAGAATTAAAAATCGCAGACAGAGAACTGCCAGAGTTCAAGCTGA